CGATAGAGCAGGGAATTGGGGTCGGGATGCGGGGAGAGAGCGGGAATATCGCAATAGAGAGTGGGAATATCGCAATAGAGAGTGCGAATATCCTGATAGAGCAGGGAATTGGGGTCAGGATCACGATGGAGAGCAGGGAATATCGCGATGGAGAGAGGGAATATCCCAATAGAGAGTGGGAATATCGCGATGGAGAGCGGGGAATATCATGATAGAGCAGAAATATCCTGATAGAGAGCGGAAATATCCCGGTAGAGCAGGGAATTGGGGCCAGGATCCCAATGGAGAGCGGGAATGTCGCGATGGAGAGCGAGGAATATCATGATAGAGCGGGAATATCCCGATGGAGAGTTGGAATATCCCGATAGAGAGCAGAAATATCCCGATAGAGCAGGGAATTGGGGTCAGGATCCCGATAGAGAGTGGGAATATCGCGATAGAGCAGGGAACTGGGCTCAGGATCCCGACGGAGAGCGGGAATATCGCGATGGAGAGAGGGAATATCGCAATAGAGCACGGAATTGGGGTCAGGATCCCGATGGAGAGAGGGAATATTGCTATAGAGACTGGGAATATTTTTCTAGTGAAAGATGGCAGTAAAATGGGGTCAGGATCCCGATGGAGAGAGGGAATATCGTGATAGAGAGCGGGAAGATCGCGATGGAGCAGGGAATTGGGGGCGGGATCCCGATGGAGAGCGGGAATATCACGATGGAGAGCGGGGAATATCGCGATGGAGAGCGGGAATATCCCGATAGAGCTGGGAATTGGGGGTGGGATGCGGGTGGAGAGCGGGAATATCGCAATAGGGAGTGGGAATATCCCGATAGAGAGCGGGAATATCACGATAGAGCAGGGAATTGGGGTCGGGATGCGGGGGGAGAGCGGGAATATCGCAATAGAGAGTGGGAATATCGCAATAGAGAGTGCGAATATCCTGATAAGGGAATATCCTGCCGGATCCCGTCCATCCCGGTTCCCACCTGCATGCGGGCGCAGTCGGGGAAGTCTCCGGCTGGGATGTGATGTTCCAGCTGGATGCGGGCGAAGAGCAGCGGGAGCTGGGAAATGAGCTGCTTCTTCTTGGCCTCCTTCCCGAACACCGACGGCATTTCCTTCCGCAGCCGGGCCAGGATGTGAGCGTGGACCTGGGAATGGCGGCACCGGGAATGGCCACCGGAGCCAAGAGCATCCCAGGGG